GATATCTGTGTCGTCACTGTTATCAGATACCCGGGAGTTTCCTCTGTTTTTTATGTTTTATTACGACACACTGATGTTCTTGGTTCCATGACAATGTCTTCAACAGATTGTAAGAGTACAGAGAGGCTGAGATATATTAAAAATCTCTGTTCAGTAAGTTGTGTTTTAATCCTATGACACATATGAGGCCCTGTTTTATTTGATTCAGCAGATCTTACCTTCTAAAACTTTTCTATTTAAAACACTTTCACCTACATGTGGCACAATGTGCACTTTTGAACCAAGTGTTAATCTCCGAGGCTGAAAGTCCCATTTCCCAAGTTCCATTGAGATCAAACGCACAAAAGTTTTAGCAAAAATACACGTTTGAGAAATACTGAGCATACAACTGGATAAATGTGACTTGTGAGCTGTGTGACAGTTTGCAAACAGATGTTTTGATATATATTTGCAGCCTCCTTTTCTTCAGTTCATCAAGAATTTTTCCCAGATTCAACACATTTTCACTGCGTTCACGTCACATATTAATATTTGGTCTTGGACTTTCCTCGTCAAAATACGATGTTCAATGTACCCTGGGTGTGTTGGTTGTTGATGTTCTGGGACGCTGTGTCAACTTCAGTCTGTTACATGCATTGTCTTCTTTCAAAATACACTTCTGTTTTCACAGGAAATGAACAGTTTGCGTATTCTCTCTTTCAAAATAAACACACTTTGTCTATACAACACTGCAAATTGTCGATTTTTTTTTCCCTACAACAACAAACGCGTGTGGTTATATTTTGCCTACACATGCACATAGTTTGATTTAGGAAAAACAAACAGGTGAGTGTCGAGTGATTCTTATACAAATGGTCATTTTATGGGTGAAACAGAAACAGTGTCTCCATACAAAGTAAAATGTCTTGCTCAGTTCAAACTTTGGCCACAATTCTTCGATAACCCAATTTAAAAAGTTTGTATATTTTCTGTGTTTGTTACTTTTTGGGCACTCTGGTGCAGCAGAACAATCTGAAAACACAACACCGATATACACCTGACAAAGCTGCTAAGTTGTTGCTCATTTACATAATCATCCCGCTGGAGTTGCTTTTAATTCCACCTGGTGAATTGTTTTGCTCTGGTTTGCTTGTCGCCGACCCTTGAGGCAAATATCAGCCTCTTTAGCTGCTAAATTCTCAACATAACAGACAATCCATACTTGGATCATCTGATGACATGTGAGCCGCTTCCATGACAAAACTGGTAAGTTGACCCTGAGTTGAGATTCTTTTGTCACTTGCCTATCCCAGCATGCATTGGGTGAGAGGTACAGTCTGCCATGGAACTATTAAATACTTATATTATTGTACAAATGTTTCCTTCTACTACTTATGTTGCTGTCACCACCTCACCCAAAGTCTTCGTCTGTGTTCAGTGCTTTAGGTTTTTCATTCTGATGCTACAAACGTTAGCAAGCGTGAGTGTCACCAAAGTTTAGTGACCAGGTTAAAGATCCTCTGTTTTATCACTGCTGACTGTTGCACAACTGACTGAATATTGTCCATAAAACACTTGAGCAGTGGCTGTTGTGTAACTTCAAGAGCCATTATCATGCAGGTTGTTTTCCTGCCTGTTTCTCTTGTTGCGCAGCATTTAATCGGACTCTCTGTGAAGTTATGATTGGTCACTGTATCAGTGCTGAGGTCAAGTACAGGCGGGACACAACACAAGAAAAAAATCCCCAAAAAGCTGCCATATTAGCACCACTACTACTACTACTTATACCCTCCTATGATCACCCATGGTAACTACTACTGTTGGGGCACTATAATACTGCTACTACTACAAGCACAACACAGAAAAACAATTGCACTTGTTCCATCTCCTGCACCGGCAACTACAACTACTGCCAGTGGCATGCAAATGTTTGGGCACCCCTGCTCAAAATGTCTTTCCTGTGGGGATTGAAGAAGATGAGCTTGTTTCCAAAAGGCATGCAGTTAAGCAAGATTACTTTAAATTTCAATCTGTTGCAGTTTCAAAATAACAAAAAGGAAAAGGGCCTGAAGCTAGAGTTTGGGCACCCTGCATCAGTACTTAGCAGCGCCCGCTTTGGGAAGTATCACAGCTTCTAGATGCTTTTTGTTTCCAGCTCAGAGTCTTTCAGTTCTTGTTTGCAGGATTTTCACCCATTCTTCCTGCAAAAGGCTTCTAGCTCTGTGAGATTGTTGGGCCGTCTTCATGCACTGCTCTTTAAAATCTATCCACAGATGTTTAAGGATGTTCAGGTCGGTGGACTGTGAGGGTCATGGCAATCATTGTCCTGTTGTAGAAGCCATCCTCGATTCATCTTCAGCTTTTTTACAGATGCTGTGATGTTTGCTTCTTGAATTTGCTGGAATTTAACTGAATCCATTCTTCCCTCTACCTGTGAAATGTTCCCCGTGCCACTGGCTGCAACACAAGCTCAAAGCGTGATTTTTAAATTATATATATATATATATATATACATACATACATATATATAATTTCTGCCCTTCTGGTGGTTTGCGGGATCTGGGGGGGATGATAGGAAGGGTTGAGGGGTTGAGTAGGTGGGGATCTGTGTGTGTGTGTATGTATGTGCGCATCTGTGTATCTCTATATCTGTGTACTTATGTGCATATGTGTAGATGCGTGCATGTGTGTAGATATGTGTATGTGTACATTGTACGTATAATTCAACATTGATGGGGTTGATATTTGTCTGCATCTTGCTTGACAGAATCGAATTTCTGACAGAACTGTAGGGCAGACTTTCTTTTCAGTCTCCTTTGGCTCTTGACCTTCTTTGTATTTCCTGTTTGTTTTTTGTTTTTTTTCATTTTGTACTGGAGCCAATGTTATATGTAATTTTTTGTGCACATAACCCCCTTATTGTGCTATTGTCTTATAAAAATAAAAGAAAAACTTGATCTCAAAAAGTTCTACTCTAACGTCATCAGTCCACAGGACTTGTGTCCAAAAAGCAACAGGCTTGTTTCGATGTTCCTTTGCAAACTTGTGACGCTGAATTTTGTGGTGAGGACGCAGGAAAGGTTTTCCTCTGATGACTCTTCCATGCAGGTCATATTTGTGCAGGTGTAGAACAGTGCACCACCACTCCAGAGTCTGGTAAATCGTCCTGCAGGTCTTTTGCAGTCAAACAGGGGTTTTGATTTGCCTTTCTAACAATCCTACCAGCAGCTCTTTCTGAAAGTTTTCCTGGTCGTCCAGACCTCCACATTTGCTGTTAACTGCCATTTCTTAATGACATTACGAACCGAGGAAACAGCTCCCTGAAAACACTTTGCTATCGTCTTATAGTCTTCTCCTGCTCTGTGGGCATCAGTTATTTTAGTTTTCAGAGTGCTTGGCAGCTGTTTAGAGGAGCCCATGTCTGCTGATCGATGGAACAAGGTTTCAGGAGTCAGAATATTTAGAAAGCTTTGAAATTTGCATCACCTGTGCTTTCCTAACGATGACTGAACAAGCCAGAACCCTAACAAGCTAATTAAGGTCTGAGACCCTGTTAAAAGTTGTCTGAGAGCTCAAATGTCTTGTGGCGCCCAGACTTTTGGTGCTCCTTCACTTTGTTTCAGTCTAGAATTGTACGCAACAAAGATAACACACTGATCTTGCTTAAAATGTTGAAAATCATGTCTTAGCTTTAAATTCATGCCTTTTGGAAATCAGCTCATCTTCTACTTACTTAACCACCAGGGGTGCCCAAACTTTTGCATGCCACTGTATTGAAATATACACATATATATATAGACATAAGATTCTTGGCTTTGAAATAAGCAAGATGCATTTTAATTCAGGGTCGAACTATTGTTAAATATTCAAATATATTCCTAATTTTCTGCGTATTTTTAAAGGATTTTCCGGTACAGCACAAATGTTTCCTGTAGATAATCAGCATATCAGCCTCTTCAATGACTGAGTAAAGAACTTTCCCAATCTGATTGTGAGAACTGGTACAACTGTTTTTTTACTGCTGAAACTTCTACTTCTGTATTAATACTTCTTACTTTACTGCAACACTCACTTTTACCCTTAAAGGCTGAATGTGTCTTCATTCAGAGAGTTTTTGTAACTGCTACATACACATCCATGCACATACACGCCTACACACACTCACACACACACACACATACACACACACACATTTCCCTAGCTGACCTTTGACTGCATGAGGGCAAGCCTCCGTCTGTCATCCAATAGAGTGGAGGCAGAGAAGAGGAGGCACAGAAGGTGCTGCCCCTACACACACCAGCCTGGACGCTGTCGAACGCTGTGCTTACATCACTTAGTAATGTGGGTCAAAGTTCAACAGCAGCGGGAGGTTTCCACACCCAGAGAGCAGAGAGAGACGGAAAGAATTAATGTTGCAGGATTGTTTGTCTGGTTACATCAGGGCTCTGCTTATCTGAGCTGGAAGATGATTAACAATTAAAAAGTGTTGATGAAAAGACACCCAAAAGCACTTTTTTTTAACAGCTGAGACTGTTTATTAAGAAAGTTTTGAACACGTCACCTATTTTGTTTGATTTTTCACAACACTTCTGACTCTACCCAGACTGCAGGGACGTTTGAAACAAAAAAATGAAGCATGATTTCAGTGGGAAAACAATCAAACTGTACAGCTGGGCGTTATCACTCTTACTTTCCTATTCATAGGAGTGTGTCATAGAACGAGATAGTGCCAGCAGTGGTGAGGACAAAACTGTCTGTCTTTCTCCTTGGGATCTGAGCCCAGCTATCAGTGTTCAGCCACCGGCAGAGGGAACCGGTTACGTGACGACAACGTTACGTCCCGCTGCTGATTAATAATTCACCGGCGGCCTGTAACAAAGTGTTTTGCAGATCTGCGGAGAACAACAGGTTCATGCAAATAGCCCAGAGGACAAGCCTCTCCCCCCACACCTCCTCCTCCTCCTCCCTCCCCCTCTTGTGGGACATCCCAGAGTATAAAAGAAAACTCTCACCACAGCAGATACAACTAACCAAGAGGGAGAAGGAATCCTCATCTCTTCTGGAAACAGCCAACAGACACATCATCTGATGAGGCCAAGCTAGAGGCTCTCTGCTCCTCACAAACTACTGAAGGTAACCTGATGCTCTTTATTTCCAGCGTAATATGAGGAGGGAAACGGAGGTTATCTGCAGAGGGATGCTATTACATCACACAGTCTGTCTGATCTGGAGGCTGCAGCAAATTTGATGTATTTGTTATGCAGAATAGTATAAATTAGACAAAATATAACAGCTAACAGAGTCAAGAAAGACTGAAAATGACATTTTATAAAACTTTTTTTATTATAATAATGTGCTAAACTTTTTTCTATCCTTTCTCTCTTTTACCCTCGCCATCTTTTTCTTTCCTCCAATTTGTTCGCTGCTTTCTTTGCCTCTTCCCTCATCTCTTTTTTTCGTCACCCTCTTGCTGACTTTTCCTCACCCTCATCCAATTCTCATGTCCTCTCTTCACCCTTCTCACCCCCCTTTCTTCTCCTCAATTTACCCTCTCTTTCCTTTCTTCTCCACCCCATCTGAATCTTTTCTCCAGGCTCGTCCACTCCTAGACCTCCTCTCGTCTTTTCTATCTCCGTCTATCCACACTCTTCCACCATGCCTCCTCAGCTTCCATCCCAGAACCAGAACGGTCCCAGGATCCTGCAGGGCGACCTTTGTGCCCTCAGCCCGGCGGTCAAGGAGTTTGTGGACGCCAATGTGACTCTGTGCCAGCCTGACTCCCTCCACATCTGCGACGGCTCCGATGAGGAGAACCGCACCATCCTGGCCCAGCTGGAGGAGCAGGGGATGATCAAGAAGCTCAAGAAATATGAGAACTGGTGGGTTGACTGGAGGTTGATTTGAGGTGGCTTCTGGTGTGGCAAAACATACACATTTGTTTTGAAATGTTCGAGGTATTTTGATATTTGTTGGTGGGATTGGAGGGAGTGTGACCTGGGTGAGACAGAAGAAATGATGCAAGTCTGGTTCCCGATCTGATCTGTAAACAACAACAGGTCTTAAATGGATTTTTGACTGTCAGCAGTGTATGGAGACAGTGTAACCTAATGCAACTGCCAGATTGCTCAGTCATGTTGTTGCTTAGGAAAATTTGCATAAGTTAGTCATCATCAGCTGTTGAAACAACAACATATGTGGAAAGGTCAACATTCTGACAAACCAGTAGGTCTAGTTTGTTCAGTCAGATCACACCAGCCTACCAGCAGACGTCAACAAACAACACTGCTGCAAATCCTAAAATGTAATCAAACTTTCATTTCCTACCTCCCTCCTCCTCCTCCTCCTCCTCCTCCTCCTCCTGTAGCTGGTTGGCCAGGACTGACCCGAGGGACGTGGCTCGTGTTGAGAGTAAGACTGTGATTGTGACCCGGGACCGGAGGGACACGGTGCCCACGCCGCTGGATGGCGGAGTCAGCCAGCTGGGCCGCTGGATGTCCCCGGAAGAGTTCGACAAAGAGATGAGTCAGCGGTTTCCAGGCTGCATGAAAGGTACAACAGAGAGCGAGGTTTAATCAGACAGGATGAAGAAATGAAAACAAAATGACAAAAGTGAATATTCTGAACAAGAGCTTAGAAATGATAAGCTGTTAAATATCACTATAATTTAGATTTGGGTAGGCAGCTAATCTAGCACTGTGACCTTTGTTTTCACTGCTGATGTGCAGTATGTGCAGAAAAATATGGATTTCATCTCAACTACTCAACTGAAATTGAGATCAAAATGAAGAACGCAGCTCCAGTGAAGCATGTTCATGATGTCTTACTGTCTCTGTCCTCAGGTCGTACCATGTATGTGATCCCCTTCAGCATGGGCCCCGTAGGTTCCCCCCTCTCTAAGATTGGGGTGGAGCTGACAGACTCTCCGTATGTGGTGGCCAGTATGAGGGTGATGACTCGTATGGGGAAGGCCGTGTTGTCTGCTCTGGGGACGGGCGAGTTTGTCCGCTGTCTGCACTCCGTCGGCTGTCCTCTGCCGCTCAAAAGTACGTCAACAAGCTAGATTGTCCGTCATTCAGCAGCACAAAAGCAGTGCTGAATACTTATGAATACTAATGAAAATGACCAGTATTGCCGTTGCACTTCTGGTATTTCAACCATGATTACTGCTTATAAATAACCCATAATACTTCAGCTATTAATACTGATTATGATGCTGTCCACTCCTTCTTCCAAGCTGTCGACTGATTCAAATAAACCAATGTGTTTTCCAGAACCCTTGGTGAACAACTGGCCCTGTAACCCTGAGCAGACGTTAATCGCCCACATCCCAGATCGCAGGCAGATCGTCTCATTCGGTAGTGGTTATGGAGGAAACTCCCTGCTGGGGAAGAAATGCTTTGCTCTGCGCATCGCCTCACGGATTGCCAAGGAGGAGGGCTGGCTGGCGGAGCACATGCTGGTAAGGGCTGAGAAGAAAAAAACAAATTCTAACATATGACTTCCTACAACAGCTTGACTAAACTAAACATGTCTCCTGATCAGATCCTGGGCGTCACCAACCCTGCTGGGGAGAAGAAGTACATGGCGGCAGCCTTCCCTAGCGCCTGCGGGAAGACAAACCTGGCCATGCTCTGCCCCACGCTGCCCGGCTGGAAGGTCGAGTGTGTGGGAGACGACATCGCATGGATGAAGTTTGACAACCAAGGTGAGGGAGTCAAGACTCAACCTGAAGTTTAAATCAACACCTCATAATAATAACACAAGCTAACACTCCTATTATTTGTTGCGCCCTGTTGCCAGGCAATCTACGTGCCATCAACCCAGAGAACGGCTTTTTCGGAGTTGCGCCCGGTACCTCAGCCCAAACCAACCCCAACGCCATGGAGACCATCAACAAGAACACCATTTTCACCAATGTTGCAGAGACCAGCGATGGCGGTGTGCACTGGGAGGGAATGGACCAGTCGCTGCCGGAGGGAGTCACCATCACTTCCTGGAAGAACAAACCCTGGAGCTCAGAAGATGGTAAGAGCGTGTTCATGTTTGAAGAGCTTGCAAAAAACAGGAGGTAATGCAAATTGTGCAGGTTAGAAAAAGAAAATTAACAAGCTAACAACACCAGAAAACAGGATGGTCAACATAGACTGTGCAAAATAATGGGCATAGCCACCATGACGTCACCTATTAGTTTATGGACTCCCGTTTTGAGGCCTTGAATTCGGCACTTTGGCCATCGCCATCTTGATCCAAGCGCTAGCTGTTAGCTAGGTTAGCACATTGCATTTACACTTATGGTTAACTGTGGTAATGCTAATGCTAATTTTTGCTAGCAAAAAAGGCATGTAAATAAAAAAATTCATCCCTTGCACAGTTGTCATCAAGGGTTTAATTAGCTATAGAGACCAAAACCATTTTTGTACCAGGCTGTAAAGGAGGGTCTATGAGGATTGTCTTGGTCTTAGAGCCAGCCTCAAGTGGCCATTAAAGGAACTGCAGTTTTTGGCACTTCAGCACTGGCTTCGTTTTTCAGCTCTGTCACTAATAATCTCAACATGCTGACTTTGATTTCAGTCAGTGGTGTAAAGATGAGCCAAAACATTTTGAAGAAGTAGGTTTTCAGTCACATTTTTTCAGATTGTGGTTATTTAATTTATCAAATCCAAAACTCAAAAATCTAATTTTCATGACTGGAGAAAAATTAAAGATTGAAAAATCTCTGTTTCAGTACAGTTAGCAAATGAGCATGCTGCTGGAGCACTTTACCTGAGTCAAAACACATTATTTTCTCTCACTGAAGAGAGAACTTTGAATAGATCAGATGGTTGGAGATGTGTTTTAAGGAGCAACGATATACATACAAAGTTATGATAAAATAAGAGAACATCACACACACTGAAAGCTTACATTTCTCCACTTCCAGGTGAACCCTGCGCTCACCCCAACTCCCGTTTCTGCACTCCGGCTGGGCAGTGTCCCATCATCGACCCACAGTGGGAATCCCCAGAGGGAGTCCCCATCGAGGCCATCATCTTCGGAGGGCGCAGACCACAAGGTGAGCAGGAACCTGGTGGAATGAGAGGAGACGACAGAGACAGTGTTCAGTGGGATTAAAAAAAAAATGAGAAAATCATTATCTTGAATCTAACTCGTGACTCTTCGTTTCCTCTCAGGTGTCCCTCTGGTGTACGAGGCTTTCAGCTGGCAACACGGAGTGTTTGTTGGAGCAGCCATGCGATCAGAGGCCACCGCTGCAGCTGAACACAAAGGTCAGTGTCTCATCTTTCTCATGAAAATATTCCTCATCCTGAGGATATGAAGGACTTATTGCTTGAATGTTTATTTGCCGCCAAACACCACCAAGATCTTCATTTGTGTAAAGTTTTAGGCTGGAAGTCGATTTAAGCGACTTATGAGTGACTTGCCCCCAAAACTGGCAAACACTAGATTGTGTCAGGACGCATTTATGTTACAGAAAATAACTAAAAAGACACTCAGTAACTCTCTCCTCTCTGTGTCCACCGTTTTTTTTCTGCAGGCAAGATCATCATGAACGACCCCTTTGCCATGCGCCCGTTCTTTGGCTACAACTTCGGCCAGTATCTCTCTCACTGGCTGAGCATGGCTGACCGCCCGGGCGCCAAACTCCCCAAGATCTTCCACGTCAACTGGTTCCGCAAGAGCCCCACCGCCGGATTCCTCTGGCCCGGCTTCGGCGACAACATCCGCGTGTTGGACTGGATGTTCAGGCGGGTGAATGGCGAGGCTGGCGCCATGCCCTCTGCCATAGGCTACCTGCCATGCAGTGACTCCCTCAACCTCCAGGGCCTGAAGGGGAACGTGGACCTGGATGAGCTGTTCTCCCTGGATCAGGAGTTCTGGCAGAGGGAGGTGGAGGAAGTGAGGAAGTACTTCACCACACAGGTGAATGATGACCTGCCTAACGAGGTGGCTCAGCAGCTGGAGCTCCTGGATCAGAGAGTGAAGCAGATGTGAAGAGGGGGGGAGGGGAGCATGTTAGCGAGTCTGAGGGAGCGTGACTGTAATCCTAGAACAGAATGTGAGTAATTCAAGAACGTCTCGTCACTGTTTGACTGAAGAACTGATTTTTATAAAGCATTCATTTTTTTTAAATGGAGCCTTACAACTTTATGAAAGATCATTTCTTCTCCAGTAATTGTTTTACTGTTGTAGGTTTTTTGATTAATTAATTAGGAATCTGCCTGTTTCAGATAATTATTCTGAAAACACTTCCTTTAAACCTGGGCTGGGGACGTCGAGATATAATTATATGAATTTATAGAGTTAACAAACAGTCCTCACTGTGCTCACCGTAAATACAACAGCCGGGTGGTTCCAGGTCAAGACTGCTGATCTGAAGAGGAAGTGTTTCCTTTCCATTCATCCACATGCTGTCATCACAGCACTCTGTTGTTCCAATGTGTTGTCTGACTGTACGTCTGAATTCTAATATTTAAAAGTAACTTATTATAAGCGCACATCACACTGTCAAATGAGTCCAGTGTTGTTTGACCCCGGACATGGGGTAAATGTTTTCTGTTCCTGTCTTTTTTTGCCTTAATTTATTTTTATACACTGTGTGTCTCTTGTTCTGTTTTGCTGTAATCTTGAACCCCAAAAAGGGGAGGATGAAATAAAAGTATTTTCAAGTATCTGGTCCAGTTGTTGTTGTTTTATTAAAGAAGGTTTCTGTTAGTATTTCAGCCAGGAACACTTTAGTCAAAGTAAACTTTATTTCCATCTGCAGTGTTATATTTGGCGGCATGGCTCTGTCCTGGGGCCCCTCTTCCTTTCCTAGGCCTATGCTGAAAGCCTCTTTCGTGCACCTATACGTGGAAACCTCCCTGCCCTTCCATGCGCCTACATGAAAAGCCAAAAGCAGAGAGAGCAGCAGCAAAGTTGCTCAATTTCTGATATTATAGGGCAGCACATCATGAGCAAAACTGAAATGTAAAACACCCAGATAGTAAAATGATATCAACTAAACATCTTGTTCACTTATCACCTGCTGTAAAAAGCACTGCAAATATAAGTAAGGAAATGTACTCATGATAAAAGTTACTAAAGGAAACATTCGTACTCGCTCTCTCATCTAATGCAATCATAGTATAGAGCAGTGGTTCCCAACTGGTTCAGCCATGGGGTCCAAGGGCTGTATTCACAAAGCTTCCTAGTGAGTTGCTCCGATTGATGTTTACTTAGAATTTCCCCTTAAAGTTCAGACAAGGTCCTTGTAAAGACAAAAGTTATTCACAGAACATCCCAGACCTTAAAAGATCTCCTAAGGTGAAAAACTGTGAGGAGCAGGGAGGAGGACTTTTAAGAGGCTTAAGAGTTTCTTAATCAGAGGAGAAAATGGTGAAAACACAAAGAGGTCGGAGAAATATTCTCACAGTCAGCAGCTCATTTCATTTCAACTCCTTGCAGGCTCACAGAGAGGGTGTGTCTGTGACAGCCAATCACATCTGTTAAAAGAATACATCACACCTAGCAGCAGGGTCGACCACACCTCCTCACTAAGATAAAGTTTCTGTCCCTTCCTTGCTCAGAGTTGCTCTGAGAACTTTCCTAAATCACTCCTAAGCTAGGACTCAAAGTTAGGAGCTCTCTGAGAGTGTTCTAAGAATGTTTGTGAATACGGCCCTTAGTTTCTCCTTAGTCATTAGCTCAAGGTCCACACAGTTTAATACATTCAGTGTCCTACTTGTGTTTGGCCATGTTGTTGAGGTAGTTAGCTGTCTCTGTGAAGTAGCTTTCCATTAGTCACTCACTCAACAGCAGGAAATGGCACCTAAAATGCAGCTATGTGTTGGAAATTCACTGTAATTAAAAATAAAGATATTTTTTTAAACAAACTAGACATGTTTGCGAGTCACTTGTGGCCCATTCAGAACAGACCTGTGACCCACTTTTGAGCTGCAACCCACCAGTTGGAAATCACTGGTATAGAGGACAAACTTCTATGTCTAAAGAGGAATGTATTAATGTTGGGACAACAAATTTATAGCAAATGTTCTTGTTCCTTAAATGAGCATGAGAGTCACAGAAATGTCACGTTAAGAAACAACAGGCTTCATAAGGCAGTGATACTCAATTTACAGACCGTCGGGCAAAAGTGGCCTGTGATAGGGTGCTGGGTGGTTCACCTTCTACTTTATGATGAACAATGAAAATAAATTCACACTTTTTTGTAGTTTTAATGTAAATAAGGTACAAAAAGGCATCAAAACAGGGCTTGAACCCTGACAGAAGTCTATGTTAAATGACCTCAAATCCTAGAAACACCCCTGCACACAACTGATCTGTGCAAAGTGAGGACAGCAAATGTCAAAAGGTTTTAAACAATTCATGTATTATAAATACTGATGAATTTTATTAACATTTGTTTATTAACTGGCTCCTCGCCTCCCGTCATTTTCCTGAAGTGGCCCCCGGGCAAAGCAAGTTGAGTTTCCCTGTCATAAGGATGAGAGAACAGCAACAAAGTTCTCTTTGTGCTTCGTCTTTTCAAATTCAGTAATTTTGTCTTCTGTTTGTTTTCTGGTGAGCGCGTCACACTGCAGACTCTCAGAGCAGTTAGAATGGCTTTTTGTCTTCTTGATTTAAATTTCATCAGAGTTAGGACTGTAGGAGGCCACATGTGTTTGTCCCATGGTTCACCACAGCTCTTGTGTAAGACGTGAAGATAATGACGGTGACTGAAGTTAATCATCACTTACTTGTTTTTGACACCATGCGTGATCTGAATCCCGTGTGTTCCTACATCATGTCCCATGTTGCTGTGAATGTTCTTCAGTGGAGGCTTCTGGGAACAAAACACAAACAACAGTGAACTGTTACATCAGAGGCGGATCTCAATTTGACTTTTACAGATTAATTATCAGTGTGACAGATGATGTCCAACACTTATGAAGACTTTGATTTTAAAAAGACATTACTGGCATTAAAGATGGATTAGAAGTCATTATAAAGTTTTTGCCTTTTTCCACCAATATACTCTGTTTTTCCCACAGTATATGTCAGATTGTGGAAGGAAAAATAAACGCATGTAGTCAAGCTGCAGCTTCATTAAACGGCACAGTTGTGTTCCACAAGTGCACAAGAGAGAACGCAAACTGAGAAAAGGCCTCATACAATGCAAAAAAACTTCATCCTATTAAGTTATTTTTTCCTGAAACTGAGTTCTTGAAGTTTTATTTTCACATGAAAATAATCGTCTACTGTCCAAGGACTATATTCCCACCTGTTTCTAGAAATGAGAGTATTTATATTAAATGAAGGAAGAATAAGGAAGGTCACTGCACCATAATCAAGAACATTAAAACTTTATGAAAAGGTTGCAATTTTCTTACCGCAAACTTGTTTCAAGAAAACTCCAAGCATTACATTTAGTATAAAATCAAGTATAAAAGATATATAACGTTCCCCGTGATGATCATGTTCAATATATATTGATATCTTTTATACTTAGTATGCCCTCTAACACAACACATCATCCCAGTCATCAGAATAAAATGTTGACATTGTATGTGTCTGCAAACCACAGATACGTTACATTTTAATGTTTCATATGTATCATAACAAACATTTCTAGAGTGATGTATATATGAGCTGACTTTGTCATCAGGAGGTGGTGGGGATGCTGGATGGCGTGCCACTTTGGCGAGACGCCTGCCAAGCTGCAGAAAACGGTTCGAGACCAACAAACAACAAGCCCAGTTGTGATTTAGTGAATAATCACTGTGTTTCCAGCAGCTCTTCAGCCACCAGACGTGGGTGTTTTGTTGCAACCAAGATAGTGTCTCAAGAAGAGAATGTTTTCAAGCTGGAGATCGTGCTCCCAAATCAAGAGCCAAAAAAAGCTTAAACTTTCCCTAACCTTAACCAAATTGTTTTTAAAACCTAAACCTTACCACACGTTAATCACAGCATTGTTAAAATGTAAATTTTTAACGTATCCATTACATCACAACATACAAAATAGGGTTGAGTTGAATAGTTGCATGAAACAAGTTTCCAGTAGAGATCAGTATCCGTACTCATGATGAAGGACTCATTTTGGTAGCTGCTTTCAATGTCTTATTCTCGTGATCAAAAAAGACTTGAAGCTCAATCCTGAGATTGTTGTCTAATAAATAATAAATATGGCAACTTCGGATCAATTTCAGATTAAAATTAACACACCCAGACCCAACGTCAGGGTTACAGATGACCCCGGCCCAATGCCAAGGTGGGGCCCCTAAAAGAAAATCCAGGGTACAGCCAGAATAAGGAAATGAGTCATTATTAGCAAATAAAACCTGCTGTATCAGGCTACGTTTTAAAGCTATAGTGAAGACACAGATATTCTATTAAACTAGAGGACCTAAGGCATCCATTGATACCAACCACGCTATGCTATCTTGTGAGTCGAGACGTCCCAGTAGTGATGCAGGAATCATGGGAAATCTTTTGAATTCACATAAACATATACAGACAGAGTTGTGTGTCGCGCGTGCTGTTGACAGCGCGTCCCGTCTCCTGCATGTTTTGTTGCAATGACCTTGTTCATTATGTGTCTGTGTGTACGTTGAGACTCTGTTAATCAGCCTGTAGCTTTAACAGCACCAAGAAACTGACTTTCTCTGAGCAACAACAGGACTGTTTGTCTGACTGTGTCGATAGAAATTCTTCTTTGAGACAATTATTTACACGTCGTGTTCTGCCAACATCACGGAGCGTCTGAGTGTTCTGGTTTTCTAGTGGCTTCATCTGAGGAAATAATTACCTCACAGGCACACAGAGCCACACTCTGACTGCGTGTTGCAAACTGCCTGTTTTCATGAACATGTCTTATCTCACTTTTTATTAACTGTGCAGGTTATTTATCATCCATAAAGACATCTCAGTATTGTTCCTGATCCGTTATCTTCCTTCTTACTTTTCCAGGTTTTTATGATTTTGTTTTATAACTTCGTTTTACTACATGGAAGATGTACTTATGTTATTTATGATAAACAATATGTTGCCCGACTTGGAGAACATTAAACTTTGATGACATCTGTGGGGAAAATGTGTTTAATTTGCAGACACCTGATTACAACTTTATACTTTATAAACCAACACATTCTCACACCGACCTCGTCATATTTCAATGTTTGGTCATGGACTTTCCATGTCCACATATGACGCGCAAGGTACCCTGGGTGTGTTGGTTGATGACATCGTGGGAAGTTCTGACCCATCCAACACCACTCCCAGCCGCGAGCGCTTCTGTCAAGCTGGATAGAGCGGATCATACCAAACAGGAAGTCGGACATAGAAAAGACGAGAGAATCCGGCAAATTTTCAAAATAAAATAACAACAGCACGCACTGAGTGAGGAACGTGAGGAGAAAATACCGTGTTTATAATTTAAAATAACAAAATAACAAATAACTGACCACATTTTTCAATACCATAATCACTTCATTACAATTTTAATTTTGTGTCACCGAGCCTTCAGGCATAACTACATAACGCCCTCAACACACTGGACGCGTTGGTGACGCATTAGTGCGGTCCGGTGTGTCCAGGGAGAAGCCTAATGGCACGGGTGTGTGGATGTCTGTTCATCGTTTCATTCATGTCCTTATTAATGCACACTTTATAACTTGCTTGTTGGATTTATTAAAAACG